AGCAAAGGATGATCGAGTCCACTTGAAGGGAAGAAACAGTCCTTGTAGAATAAGGGAAATGGATATGACGTCTTGTTCCAGGTGCCAATATGCAAAAGAAAACAAAATAAAAGCTCCAATGGTATAGATAGTCTTTTCCGCTTCTTTATAGAAATACAGAGTAAAGAGGTATCACACTCACCTATATTAGAGCTAAAACTCGCTCAGGTGTATATCGCATTCAGTGGTACTGGTCCCCCACTGGTGGGATGTAGACATGAATACGTGGCCGAGATTCTCGGGAAAGAAGAGGATAACACAGAATAGTGCTCACTGTATGAATAGATACTTAAAAGGAGTAAAATGTGTATAGAATACTCACATTTAAGTGAGCAGGAGATACTGCCCACTGATATAGCGTAGGTGGTATCATCCTCACCTAGGATTCTTGAATATAAAAAAAATAGTAGTAACCAGGTCCAAGAAATAATAAGTAAATAAATAGAATAAAAAAATAAAAAATAATAAATAATAATAAGTGAGTAATACTTTATTGATAGATTATAAAAGATATGTATAAAATAGCCATTTTAAAAATAGCTATTTTATACATATCTTTTATAATCTATCAATAAAGTATTACTCACTTATTATTATTTATTATTTTTTTATTCTATTTATTTACTTATTATTTCTTGGACCTGGTTACTACTATTTTTTTTATATTCAAGAATCCTAGGTGGGGATGATACCACCTACGCTATATCAGTGAGCAGTATCTCCTGCTCACTTAAATGTGAGTATTCTGTACACATTTTACTCCTTTTAAGTATCTATTCATACAGTGAGCACTATTCTGTGTTATCCTCTTCTTTCCCGAGAATCTCGGCCACGTATTCATGTCTACATCCCACCAGTGGGGGACCAGTACCACTGAATGCGATATACACCTGAGCGAGTTTTAGCTCTAATATAGATGAGTGTGATACCTCTTTACTCTGTATTTCTATAAAGAAGCGGAAAAGACTATCTATACCATTGGAGCTTTTATTTTGTTTTCTTTTGCATATTGGCACCTGGAACAAGACGTCATATCCATTTTCCTTATTCTACAAGGACTGTTTCTTCCCTTCAAGTGGACTCGATCATCCTTTGCTCATTTTAGTACTTTTTCATCTATTTTTCTTTGTATGTACTGCTATTTGTAAGTACTTACCACATCATTTACATGTATTTTACCTGTTTTATATGTTAAGATTTTTATCTTTACTGATTGCTGTATTACAATATTTTGATTGTGTTATATCTATCTA